GGGGGGGGGGGGGGAGGGCAGTCTTCAGTCAGTTAAGGGTAGCTTTGTCTTCATGGTAGCAGAACTTACAGATAAGTTGCTCAGTAAGTTTTGACTCAGCTACCCTATTCAGAGAGTTTGCCACCTGAACCTATACATTAAAAAAATTTAGGACTAATGAAAGTCAGATTTTAGTAACTTCTGTTTTTGGACTGGAAAAATATTATAACGTTTTTGATACTGTTGGGTACCTGGGCTTGCACCGTCCTGCAAAGGGCACAACGTTAGCTTCACGTACTCAATAGTAATAAGAAAAAAGCTATAATTATTTAATGTTAAGTGAAAGTGTTGAATGATGTCTAGGCAATTATGGAGTAATTTCACGGAATCATCCACAACTGAAGGCTATACAAGGCGGCTTTAATAGAGACCTTACGAAACTGGCTACGATACGTTCCAAGGAAACATGAATGAAAACATCCAGTACAAAAAATAAATCCAGATTTTTAAAATTACTTCGAAATAAAATCGACTCGTTCAATTTGTATACTAATATTTTCCACTGGAAATGATGAATTCCTGCAAGTCAAGAGTGTGACGGTTAAGTTCAAAACTACCCGTGACACGTTTATACGTGACGAGTGGGAGATAGTTTGTTTACTTAACAATATCTGAAGTAGGTATATATATACTTTACATTTCCCCCAAAAAGTTCTTAACAACCTCAACAATCTATATCAATTATAATAAATACATTTAACCAAGTTAATCTGCAATAAGACAGCGAATTTATTTACCGTAGAGATCCGGGAATTGCTACACCAATTCTGCATGAGAAACGTATCGTCTCAATATTCCCTTGCTTTCAAACGCGGTTTCACGCAAACGTGGCTTTTTACACGAAACAGGATTTTCCCACTATTAGTCTTGATCGAGTATTCTTCAGGGTTTTTACTTTTGATGTTCGAAGTACGCGTTTAGGCGTGTATGTGTGTATGGATACACGAAGACCAAGGACCTCGATTCGAGGGAAGTTACATCATTGCCAAAATGCAACCACGTGATCAACCGCGACTCCGAATATAGATCGCGAGCAAATTCTTGCCTTGGTACCGCACAGATGGATTGTGGACGATAGACGACAGACGATGAACGATACAAAATTGTCAGAGACTTTTTCGCGAAATTCAAGCCTGAGATGCTCTACCCAGGTAAATTAAGGGCATGGGGCTCAATTTGCCTTAATTTGCTCTTTTCAAAACTGAGGGGGTGGCCTAGATCTAAGAGCTTTAGATGAAGAGACATAAAACTTTGCCAGCTACCCAAATTTTTAGTTTGTGTCAATTTCGTGCTTTAAAATTATGCAAATTAGGTCACGTGACCTCCTTCGGCTGAAAAAGCTTGCTCTTGAAACGGCAACACTTTTTCGTGTGCCCTCAATTATTTTACCGGTTGCATAATGTTAAGGCCTTTTAATATATCACTTCTATGCTTGGCCTTTTTTAGATATTTAAAATCGAAGGCGTTAAGATGGGATACAATTGCTTTGGGGGACTGGATCTAGTAGAAAAAGCCGTTTATTTTCTAAAACAGTAAAAAATTCAAAAAAGGCCAAGCACAGTTTTGTAGATGCTTGCATTACACATTGTTCTAAACCAGTACGGTTTAATAACTCACAACAAAAATTGTTGCCTTTTTTGTTTAAGGACTTTTTATTGTTTTCTGGCCGTGTGGAGTCACGTGACAACATTTGCGTAATTGAAAATTACCTAATTGACAGAAACCACACGTGTATGTATCTGGCAAAGTCTCATCTTTTTACTGCTTAAGTGCTCAGAGATAGACCACCCCCCGTCACTTTTTGACTGAATCATTTCATATCTAAAACTAGAGATACGAGTGTCGCAGAACCTGGCGAAGCTAAAGGGAAAGGGCTGACAGATCAAAAGCAAACAAACAAACAAACGAAACAAAAAACAAAAAGAAAACACAACAACTACCCATAGCAAGAAAGAAGAACTTCGGGAGAGTTCGAATCCGCACCCCAGTACGATTGAGTGACAAATTTGAATAAATAATTATTTAACGATTGTGTAACAAGTCTCGCATAGTTTGTAGTATTTATGACCCTCGTAAAAAGTCTGTAAAAATGGTGTCGCCTAGCGTTTATCGTCTATCGTCCAGAATCTATCTTCTGGGTTTTAGCACATGCCGGTAAAACGCTAGTACATGAAACACGACAACGCGCTGGGCGCCCAGAATTTCCCGCGAATGTTTTTGATTGGATGTCATTTGATGACCAGACATTTCATAGTCAGCTTATGTTTGCATAGCAAATAAGGGGACGTTTTGAAGAAAACAATGGTCTCCTTGGAGGCGTTTCTTTCCTTTCTCCCCCGCGCGCCCAAATTCCCCCTTCCCCTTTTAACGCCTGCCACGCAAGCTAAAATTGAAGAGCCGTATCGGACAGCCACTGTTGGAGATTCTCCTCGTGCGTGAGTTAATTGTGGATTCTCCATATGGAGCTTTTTAAATCTCACATATGAAAAATTGTAATGACCTGAATCTTGGCGAAGTACTTCGCAAATTTACCTCCTCTTATTCCCCAGATTCTGAACTTTATCTATTGAACGGATTTGATTTAGAGCTTTTTTAATGGCGTAACAGTGAAAATCAGGAATCTATGCTAAATGCCGCCAAAATGACACTGTATCATTATGATATCAAGGCCGTTTCAAGCTACTTTCTCTGCTCTTGTCACAAGTACAGTACACTCGTAATTGATGAGTTCATCATCTTTAACATTATGATAATATTCGTTCTCCAACTCTCTTATTCCCTCTTCAATTTCATCATCGCTTAAATGCTGTAATACACTTAAAAAGCGGCATCGATATTTTTCGTACAACTTGGATTTTGTCACAGCCGCGGAAAAGGAGAACTCTTGATGCGAGATGTTTGAATTCACACCAATTTCCTTTAGCAACGGAGATGAGATTTCCTTCCCTCGCTCAAAACATTGGCTCATAAGGTTTTTTACACCTTTGAATAATGGAAGACTGCTCTTGAGGGTGCCAGTTAACTGCACATAAAAACCCCCGGGGCGTAGACTACAAAGTATTCCTTTATAGACAGCATCGGGGTTTACAAAATGATGTGCACTCATAGTGGCTAGCACTCGGTCAAACCTCTCGCTAATTTGCGGATTCGAGAAAAATTCTTCGGCCGTTTTCACAACCGGGTAAACCCCTTTCTTTTGTCGAGCAACTTCTTGCATTTCCACGCTGGGATCTACACACCAAATAGGATTGTGAAGCCCTGATAATTCAAAGAGATCTTTTGCAATGGCGCCTGTTCCACTACCAACGTCAGCGACCACGTGCTCTGCCTTTAAGTCCAAACATTTCATTAGGATGGGAATGTAACCTTGGTGAACTTCTTTGTAGAAGTAATCATATTTGTTCACAACATTGCGATAGTGATCTGCAAAGAATAGCGAGAGTCTTAACTTTTCCCTGGCCATCTTTCTATGATACCATGCATTTTACAAAAATAAACTTAATGAATAACAGTCCAGTGTCCGTGTACATGTCTGTCCCCTATGATATTTTTCTTCGTTTCTTTTTGTTGAGAGTGACGTTAAGTGTTTTGAAGATTTTTCTTAACTTAGTGGATGGGCTTGGTTATTTCTTTTTCCAGGACGTTCTTTTACCCTACGTACGGGGAGGCTCCTCCCAAAGGTCCGATCCCGTACTTTTTATATACCATTTTTGAAAGAATATAGTGGAATATTTCCTTTGGGACACCTCTATTCAAGTAACACCTCAATTTAGGAGACACAAAACTTGGTCCCGGAAAAATGTTCACATAATCTCTGTATTTGTTACCTGTATTCTGGGTCCCGATAACTGGGTTTCACCTCCATTCAGGGGACATGTTAGCAATCAAAAAGTGACTGACCTCAAAATTGTCGATAATTTAAAGTGTTCACTAGTCACAATGCCGACAGCTTTCAAAACATGAGTTAACTCATCTAAATCGATGTCCTGCGCTTGTGGGAATTCAACACACAACATTGCAGAGATAAGTTGATCCTGATTTTTTTTACATTATCCAGCTGCTTGAAGTAATGACTGCCTCAGATTCTGACGCCTGCGAAAGCAAACACCTTTTTCGGCTCTAATGAAAAGATTTCATTTGTGGGTTTACTGTCAACAAATCCCAGCCCAACTTCCATTCAGTGGGCCCTTTGCCATAATTCCAAGGATGTCCCATGAATAGAGGTTCCACTGTAGTGCCGTTTTCGTATACCTTCTATTGAAAATAATACCTCTTTCACAAACTTAGTTTAGAAATATACATACCTTCTAATTTCTGTAAATGCGCTGTCGTTAAAATATGAATATAACACAAAACTAGAACGTTTTCTTGACTTTTTTACAGCCATAAAATACATCTGTTGGCCCTTTTTGTGACGGAAATGACAGATTTTCCTACCCTTTCACATACTTCAACAGGTTAAATCCCTACCCTTCAAATATATCTGAAGCCTGAAATAGATAATAATGAAAATGATAATTATAATAATAGGTGCAAGTCTTTCATGACAGGAATTATATGGCTAGATCTTTTTGCTCGTCTTACTCTGAACACGTTGCAGCTAAATCTATTTCGGGATTGGGAAGACCACATTATACTGCTGTTGCAATAATCGAAGAGAAACATGAGGAAAGAATTGACCATCATCTTAAGGTGATCCTTGCTCAGATAATTCCTCAATCTTCCAACAAATCAAATCGCCAGCATAGCCTTTTTGCATGTCTTTATCTAGGTTGACACCAAAATTACAAACTCTCTCTGATGGTTGTACTCTAGCGTTGCCACTCGAAAAATCACTAAGAACTGGCGGGGGCGGATCTAGGGGGAGGGTGCAGGGGGTGCGCACCCCCCCCCCCCCTGAGATGACCTGCGGTTTTCTAATACAACTGGTATTCTGCAAAAAAAAAAACCTATGTGGTTTATTGGTGTTGAAGTAGAGCAAAAGACGAGTGCACCCCCTCCTAAAAAAAAATCCTGGATCCGCCCCTGACTGGGTTCTTGACGAAACGATAACTAAACTGAATGACCGGCGCGGTGTTTTAACCCTCGGACTTACAAGGGTGGGAGTGGTTGCCACCCCACTAAAAGGTTTTTCTGATTTTTTTTCCAAGACGATAAAACATCAGCACCTGAAGATTTCTGTAGCTGTTCATTTATCCCTCGCGCCCATCTTGAGACAAGTTTTGTGATGGTCAGTTACTATGATTACGAGATATGACGTCATAACTAGCAGGTGGTTGAGCCATTTTTGAGTAAAAATACATGCTTTTTCACTTTCTTTCAGGACAAAAGTAAAGTTTGTGGATAAAATGATACAGAGTAATTATTTACGTGTTATTTTACATGTTAAGCGCAAAAAAATTGTTGATTCACACTGTTTTAACTTGATTTCTAACTTTTGATAAAATCTAAGATGGCGACCATGTTGGGTGACGTCGCAGACCTCCACCAGCGCAACCAGATCAAAGGCTTTTCACTGAAGGTAAAATGGTTTCGAAATATCGGAACATATCAAAACCAAAGGGGTTCCATCAAACGAGAACCACGAGAACCCGCTGGATCACTTTTTCTAGAAAAGGTATACTGGCTTCTAATCTTTGAAAACATCCTTGTCAAGGTCTGGCTTTCTCAGCACTGGACGAATCAGAGACTCAGAAGGTAATTCACCAGAGGTTAAAGATTCGCTGACAATATCTGCTTATGTTCTGTACTTTAATTTTTGGATTATAGGATGTCATGTGCCCGTTTCGAGCTGAGCCTCCCCGTATTAAGGCCATTATAGGAAGTACTCCCCTCCCCCATCGGGCTGTTATGCCATGACATATTTACCAAGTCGTTCGCGTGGCGACCATCAAACCCTAAGCAACTGGCAAGCCAGGCGAAGGACTTCGTAGGAAAAACAAACGAAATAAATAAATAAATAAAATTCTCCTCGCAGGGTAACAGTCTGTTGGTATCTTCTGTGCTTTAATTTTTGAATGAAATGATATAAGGTATATTTTCCTACCCAATACGTCGAAAGAGTTTAAACCGTTTCCTTCGGCATTAGTGTCTTTAGAGTCTTCGTTTTGCGAGTTCATCATCTGTTCCACCGGTTGGTTTATCAGTTCAGTCACTCCGTGCAATCTGAGGAAGCAAAAAGAGCCTTCAGAAAGTATGGATAACGACATCACAAAGGCTGATTGTGAAGGGAAGAAAAAAAAACCCAGTTGTTAGACCTTTATACAACATTTAGACCTATATTTCAAGATAAATTATCAGATAAACTCGATCACTACATTTGTCTACAAACGTCCTCGGGGGTGGTACTCTCCTACATAAGACATATATAGTTATGTGCCGCCCTAAAGAGCGATGATCGATTTTTTGCCAGTTTTGTGTCTAAAAACTGGTGTATAGACTTTGCACCTTTAGGTCTAGAATGGGGTATGGTTTTCGAGGGAACGACGAAAGTGTCTGAACGCATTAGGGACCGGTCATTATTTATCACCGGGGGGGGGGGAGTCGGAGGATTTGGGGGGGGATCACTTGATTTTTAGGAGAACAGAGGGGGGGATCAGTCGTAACTGAGAGCCCAAAAGGGGGGGATCACTGAAAATTTTGGAAGGATTCAGAGGGGGGACCACTCAAATCTGCTTGAACAATGCCAGTTTGAAAGCATACAACATAAATGTGCCCATTCTGCTGGGAGATGATAGCATTTGCAATCTCAATTTGTTCTAACACAACTTTATTTAAAAAACGGAAGTCTGTCACACTGGCGAATGTGTGCATTTCAATTTATATCGAGAAAGCTTTGTTTTAACGCTTTTATATTTTTCCTTTTATAACGTGCTCATGACTTAGCTAATATTCATCTTTAAACATGACAGGTGAATTCTAAATTGTGAACTATATAAACTTCTGATAACTGAAACATTGTAAAAAGCGTGTTTGTTTGTTTTTTCTGAGTTAAATACGTACCGAAATGCTTCAGAAAACAGTAAGGCCGAAATACCCGGTGCGGCATATCTTAGTAAAATAGAGAGTTTTATTGAGGACCACTACGTCCGAGGAGAGCTCTTTTTTGAATTTTGTCGGGATGCCTGCAATAAGCAAAGCGATGCAAGCTCCACACTCTGTTCCTGGTGTACCAACAACAGATGGGTGGGACCAGTAACAGAAAGAATCCCTCAGCCTGTGCCAGACAAGCAAAATCCCGGGCACTTTATGGATGTGTACGAAACGCCGACAACAGGTCGTGCTCCAGACGATTATCAACCGAGGAAATGTCTGAAGGACTTGTACGAACAAAACGCCATCTCTGCGGGCAATCCAAATACCATCGCTGCTTTCTGTGCAACCTATAGTGTCGAGGAAAAGCATGTCATTGAATACCTAGGCCATCTAAATGATATCAACATCAGGAAGGATATTAGAACAAGAGAGGCTAAGGAGAAAAAAAGGTTAGAAGAGGAACTAACATACAAGGACTACCAGTGGGGCATACTTATTGAGAATGGCAAAGTTGAAAAGCTGAAGGTGAGACAGCTCGACCTGTACCTTAAGGAACATGGCCTGACCACTGTTGGTATAAAGCTGGACAAGATAAAGGCAATTCGCTACCATTACTATCGACAGAGAAGTCCAGGCAACGGGAATGAGTTGTCCAGCAGTGAGGAAGAGAGTGAAGAATCAGATACGGAGTTAGATGATGACGAGGATAGCGAAGATGATCTTGTCATTGCTGATCTCGATGAACAGTCAACTGTTCGTATGCCAGTTTTAACTTTTGTACCAGATGACCAAATAGCTGAAGTTACTGTACAAGCAAACACTGGAAAAAAAAAAAAGGAAAACAAAAAGAAAACAAACAAAAAAACGAACAAAAAAAAATTATAAAAATGTGAGCAAAGCTACAAAGGCTGATCTATTACACTATAGATGAAAATAAAAAAGGAGACAGGAACAGTGGCCGATCCTAGCCCTTCCAGATGGCCGAATTGTCGCTAAATATGACCTGCTGATAGGGACTTGGCGGACTGCTATTTGGCACTCTAAAAAAAGTAACTTTGCAGTTTCAAGCACTGATTGCAGTTTCAAGCACTTTGCAGTTTTAAGCAAGATTGCTTGTATGTCAACTGAATTCAGAGGTCTGGATCCAGACTAGAAAAAGACACGGATCAAGAGACACTTTTATAAAAAGACTGCGCGTTAACGGCTTTATTATGCTGTAAGTACATCATAGTTAGAAATACTACCTGTATATGAACGTTTAAAACACTAAATATACACGTCGAAAGGTGAATATGGGTACAAAGACATGGGGGGGGGATCACGAAAGTTATATATAGTTATGAGGGGGGATCACTTCAATAAAATAACATTTAAAGGGGGGATCGGCTAAATTTCATCGTGTTTAGCCCAAAATCCTCCGACCCCCCCGCAGGCGATAAATAATGACCGGTCCCTTATTCGTTTCAATTCCAAATCATAAGAAACTTAAGAGAAATGGATGTACAGAAATATTTTTGTTCGCGTCTAATCTAGGTTATTTCAGGTCTGAAACCGGTCTGGATTTTGGAAGCAAGGTCCTAAAACGGGTGTGGAAAATGACATTTCTAGGTCTAAAATAGGATCAGGATTTGGAGAAACGAGCGGCACACTCCCACCGAGATTTCCTAGGAGTGGGCCTCCCCCGGGGGAGACACATCAATATTTTCGTGACGATATATGATTTCAGGGTTGTGGTTTCGCGCCACATATATGTTAACCCACGGACGTACGAGGGAAGGTAGGTGGATGCCACCCCCCCCCCCCCTATAAGGTTTTTCTGAGCTTTTTCCTAGAGGATACAACATCAGCAACTGACGTTTTCAGTAGCTGTTCGTTGATTCCTAGCGCAGATTTTGAGACAAGTTTGCTGATGGTTAGTTGCTATGGTTACGAGGTATGACGTCATAGGTAGCAGGTGGTCAAGCCAATTTTGGGTGAAAATACATGTTTTTTCAACTTCTTTCAACAATGAAAGTAAATCTTGTGGCTAAAATCATGCAAAGTGTTTATTCATGTGTTATTTTCAAGTAAAGCAAAAAAAAAAAACCATTTCTCGCGGTTTTAACCTGGGTAAACGCAAGTTTCCATATCTCAAACCGCCCTTGGATACCTTGTGATGCCTACACAAAGTTATTGTATATATGTGTTCATATATGAGTGAGCCCTGACTATAGTGATTAGAGTTAAGCACTAACAATACTGATTAGGGTTAAACACTGAAAATACTGATTAGGGTTAAGCACCTAGAATAGTTACTCCAACGTCCCGCAGCGAATCCTCGGTGGTCTAGTGGTTAGGGCTAGGACACTGCAGATTTAGCACTCCGGGATCGATTCCTGCTCGTGATTCGTAATTTTTTTTTCATTTAAAATTGAAGAGACTTATACTTTGACATTTGTTGAGCAGAAACTAAGTCTCTGAGTCAAGAAACTTAAAAATTTCATGTTAGTGTAAGTGAAAAGGGAGAGGGCGGTTTGAGATATGGAATAGCCTGCGTAGCAAGGGTTTCTGTGCGGTTTAGCAGTAAAGAACCAGGAACAAGAGTCAAAGACCACGCGAAAAAAGGCTCTCGTTTCATTTCTCGCGCGGTCAAAACCGAAAATCCCGTCCCCCAGGTTTTTTTGCTCCGAAACTAAACGGAAACGCTTGCCCTCACCTGATTTCTAATTCTTGGTAAAATCCAAGAGGGCGGCAAGGTGGTAACCCTTATTGGTGATGTCACAGGCCTCCAGCAGCGCCACCACCCAAAAAATACACCTCATCTTGTTAAGAAGATCAAAGGCTTTCCACTAAAAGCAAAATCGTTTCAAAATACTGCAACATATCAAGAACTCTGGGGAGGGGTTCCATCCCCCCCCCCCCCCCCCCCCCGCCTTGTACCACGATGGGGGTACGAATTTGCTTGTACGTCCGAGGGTTAAAAGGCTGGTCACGAAAGATAAACGTTGACAATTGTCAATGAAATCAGTCGAAATCATATAGAACAAACCTTTTTTTGAAAAAAAATTGCACAAAATAGCTAAACTTTTGGGTAATTTATTCAGATGAAAGATTATACATTTAAGTTGACATCGCGTGGATTAATCATTGAAGCACGGACATTTAATATCTTTTGGGGGTCTGAAATGTCTCAAAAATATGATGCGGTAAGGGATCTCTTTGTCATCTGTGCTTTCGATCAGGGCCGTAACGATTCCTGTTTGCCAAATGCTGATCATAAGTCCGATCCCTGTTACGCTAGCCTGCGTAGCAGGCCCAAGAAAGAACGGGCGCGCAAGAGGGAGACACGCGAGGAGAGAGGAAGGGCCTGCCCGGAAGGCCCACGAAAATCGTTTCAACTCGCATTCTGTGAGTGCGGATATTTTCAATTGATTGAGAGGCTCCCGAGGGAAAAAATAAGCGCGCTGGGCGAGAAAACTGTCAATCAATAGTACATGGACAACGTAGTGAAGATCTTATATTACACCACCAGCTCCTGAAACCACTAAATGGTATAATCGAAGTTCAGGTCTCGGAGGTCCTTTAGTCTGGTTTAATGGGACTATGTGGCTGTAATCTCAAACAAAAGTTGAAATGTTCAAACGGTTTTCACGAAGCAAAGAACTGACATCGGATACACATTAGCAGAAGTCACGAGAGATTTGTCGAATCGTTGCAATGAAGATCAACGGAAATATTCTTTGCTCAGGAGAACTTAGAGGCTTGTGTTGTCGATAGAACACATACCATCAAAACTTGAACATGCATGATTGATGAAATGAAACACTTATTATATTATTTGCTCGGAGGCGACCTGAGGTCTTTTGTTTATGTCTCGTTACTGCAGCAGAAAACGTCTCAGTACAGTTTGTGTTCTGAAGTTTAGGTCCACTTAGTAAGACATGTCTACATGCTCCAAAAACGGCTGCCACTTAGTATTTTCCACGTACGCTGTGATCGTTGGTGTCTGTACAGTTTTGACAAAGTGAGCTCAGAGGACAATATTTAATAGTTTTTTTTATAATACACAGCATGCATTCTTTAAAAGATACCCATTTTTTACTTTGTTCTTTTCTATTTATTGTGCCCGTGGTTAAAAACGATTTAAAGCGGTTTGTTAACCATCAGTTTATTGTTCCATCGCTCTCAATAATCAGATAACCCAGCTGATCTTTATAACAGATATATTTAGAGCAAGGATAAAATGTACCACGCTTTGTTTGTGCGAGGTCAGTCGTTTTCTGTCAAAATTTTTGACAGATCACGCAGCAGCTGCCAGGTAATTAGATTGCGGGCGGGAGACGATTTTCGTAGGCCTTCTGGGCAGGTGCTCCCTCTCCCCTCGCGTGTCTCCCTCTCGCCCGCTCGTTCTCTCTTCTCCGTGTGTCTCCCTCTAGCCCGCTCGTTTTTTCTTGCGCCCACTACTTCCAAGCGCCTGTTACGCGAAAAAGTAATAATAATAATAATAATAATAATAATAATAATAATAATAATAAACTAAATAAAAACATAAAATAAAAAAAAGCGATATTTTCTATGATGTTAGCCGCTGGTCCCGATGGCAAGGCTTGTGATTTCCGATCCCAGTCTTATGATCTCTTCTTTCGAATCTTCCCTCTGCAGACGTTTTGTTCTTGATCCTCTAAAGATCTCTATACTCCCGTTTTATACCTACGACCCACTAGCAATAGCATTTGCTCGTACTCAGAGTGACGTGTGTTTTCTAATTTTCACGTAGTACGATCAGCTTTGCAGAATTCAGTGTGTCTACTCAGTGTATATTTTTGCTGGTCAGGTTTTTTACAGATCCTACGTTTTGCGGCTAATTCGTTACCGATGTTTTTCAATAGTTACTGATTTTGTCCTTGTCCGATCACAACAAATTCTGTATGTTTGAATTCAAATAAACCGTAAATATACTTCAAACCTTACATTTTCCATAGCAGGGATAAATTGTTCAATAAAAAAAAGTTCTAAATAACTCAAATTAATCTTAAGTAGCGTCAGAAGGCTGCTTTAATAAGGGACCGATCGTTTATTACGTCCCGGGGGTGGGCGGGGGGGGGGGGGGGGGGAAAATTTTTAAAGTACCTGGTTTGTGGGGGGTTGTGTGAAAAAAAAAAAAAAAAAAAAAAATAAGGGGGGGGGGAATTATAACAAAAGAGTGTGTTTTATATAAAAAGGTTGAAAATTTTTTTTTAATTTGAGAAAACACCTCTTTATTTAAAAAAAAAAAAAAA